TCTAACTCAACCTTCGCATTCTTAAGTCACCCAGACATTAAACATGCTCAGAAATCTGGTGAGGGAGGGACAGTGAATCCAAGTGAAAAGATCCTGTAAACTGAATGAATGTTGGTGACCTTTTGACTAACTAAACACACATAGACCAATATAAGAATTCTGAACCATTAGAGGACAAAGGGGAATGAATGCTACCTATTCCTCTGCACCCTTTCTGCCTCCACAATAATAAGGAATCCAAAATATTTCTTCTGTTCCCCTCTCTGTTCAGACTAGGAATGCTCCAGACTGCACTGGATTAAAAATAAGCCAGGGAAATGCTTTCTCCTTTTTTTTTTTTTTTTTAAAACCATTTTCCATCCAAGGAGCATAGGTTTTTTATATTCTTGGATACAAAGAACCCAGAATACTTCATTCACTATTTTACTATAGAGGGGTGACATTTTGGGAAAGTAGTGTCTATAAATGTCTTTGGATTATTTTATATTTCTTAGAGTCCATTTTTGAAATTTTAGTATAAATGTGGTTACTATGTTTCTACGTGTCCATAATAACATTTTACATATTCAGTAATTTGAAAAGCCTTCCATGTACATGTACTTTTATCCTTAATAAAGCTGTAATACACAGATTGACACTGATGTTTTTTGCTTTTAACTGGAACTTAATTAACTTAATACTATACATGATGTAACTATGTCATGCAGATCAGAAAATGTCACTGATTAGCTAATGGAGAAATAATAAATGCAAATTTGTGACATCAAAACATGAGTATGTCGAAGAAAAATGATAAAAGGACTCCTTGGAGGTGAAAAGACTTAGGAACTATGCTTTCAAGATACAACTCAATCAAGGTACTATTAGCATTTAAAATCGCAGTATCAGGTATGTTCAGGTATTATCAAGAATAAGACAGGACAGGTAATTGCTAAGAAGGAGAATAGTCATGGAGAGGGGGAGGTAGGGTAATCATTGTATATTAGTCTAGATACTTAAGTTGTGAGCAACAGAAACAAACTAGCTCAGTTAAGCATAAAAGGAAAATTATGTTGTAGTTTACCAAGTGAACAGGAAGCTTGGAGAGTAAGACCCAGATGTGTGCATACTGGTCATGGGAGAAGCAGTACCATGTATTAGTCACTGGTTCAGAACACTCTGCAAACCACAGGATAGCACTCCACCCTTCAAAGGGGTTTTATCTTGGTTAGTGCCATAAGGGAGTGTTTACTGTGCCCTTCCATCATCCTATGGGTTTAGCTGCTTCTGGCTATTGAGGTAGACGAGAAGACCAGTAAATCACATAGAAATTAACCTATTACATTACTTGTCTCATAGTAAAGTGAGTTATTTAATAAGATACACCGAATGTATTGTCTTGGTGTGTAATGTTTTGATGATACCATCCACTAATGGATGGTGCTGCCAGGGGCCTGAAGTGCAGGAAAAGCAAACATAATCCACTGTCTATTAAAATAAAGATTTTCCGGGGTGCCTTGGTGGCGCAGTCGGTTAAGCGTCCGACTTCAGCCAGGTCACGATCTTGCGGTCCGTGAGTTCGAGCCCTGCATCAGGCTCTGGGCTGATGGCTCAGAGCCTGGAGCCTGTTTCCGATTCTGTGTCTCCCTCTCTCTCTGCCCCTCCCCCGTTCATGCTCTGTCTCTCTCTGTCCCAAAAATAAATAAACGTTGA